CCCCCCCCTTCTCTGTGTTTCCGACTCGCCTGCACTCAAGCATGTCATCCAAAACGTCTCTGAAGGATAGGGCTGGTGTTATTCTATATTGTTGTCATGAAAAGACCAAAACCAACAACGAGAGGTCTAGGGGCGTAGGTTTAAAAAGTGGCGGCAAAATGAAGCTAACGTAAAAATGTGTATTTCCAAGCAGAATCAAAGCGTAGCTAAATGCAAACACCAAATAAAAAAGCTAACGCTAGGCCATAATCGAAGGCCGCTAATCTTCGGCGTGATGACATTTAGTAGTCACAGTTTCTATGTGAGTGGGGTGTTTACTGAGTTTTAGTGGCATGTATTTTATGTCTGGAACAAAACGTGTTCATATATTTAGCTTTTGTTGACCCAGATCTTAGTTCAGGCATCTAACCAAAAACATGTTATACAAACTTCAAAACAAGCAACCTGAAATGGTAAAACTCTAACTCGTTTCAGGGTTTTAGGACTCATTCCTGCACCACTATATTCTAAAAACGGTAGATCTACTACCATTTTTTAAAGCCAAAAAACATCCCAATGAGGTATATTAAGATATTCCTTGTCCTCGCGTCCAGGAGAGAGACTTAAAATAAGGAGACCAATGGAGTCTCTGAGAAGGTTCAAATGGGTACTTTAATTAAGTGGCGCGGTAATAAAACAAACAGGAGGTAGTGAGGAGAGAGGGAAGAGAAAAGCTCCCTCTCACAGTGCCGGGCCTGTCGGCCGAGCACGAGCAGAAGAGACCCCACAAGGCTCCGTCACCGTCACCTCACTATATCTCATTTGGCTCCTCCTCTTCAATGGCGGCTGTGGCGTAATCTTCCGCCCTCCTTTCACCAATGTCCGATATGGCACATAACAGAGTATTTTGACATTGTACATTCAATACATAACTAAACACGCCTTTTCTCCTCCTTATCTCTTTCATGACTTTTCATTTAATACATTTTTAACGCTGCAATCGTTACTTTTCCTTAAAACCTGAAATCAAGCTACTGTTGGTATTTCGGAGATCTTTTCCGGAATAGCTTTTCAAAATAAAACTTTAACCACAGGCGTAAGCTAACCGGAAGTATTTTCACAATAAAACAGTTATAAAAGTACTGGTGTTTAATCTATTTTATATCATCAAATATTGATTTTAATTTCTAACAGGTAAAAGTGTGTGCCAAGCGTTCAAGGCGTTTATTTGAATACAACCCCAGTGTAGCTGCCTGGATGTATTTTCTGGAGTTGAGACTATTGCTGCTGCTCCTTTTATTGCAGAGTGCAGAGTTATATGGTTCATATGTTGAGATAAGAACGGTCCTTTTAAATGTTATGGATTGAATGTTCCCTGGCGGTTTTTAGCAAACAAAAGTTCCTCCCAAATTATATAACGTAAATTTTCATGGCAGCTGTGGTTTTATGTAAATTCTCAGAGTCATCATTGTTAACGTTCTGATTTCTAACAGCAGGTATTGTAGTGGATGCTTATTTATATGAAAGTACATCTCAAGAAGACTTTCATTTCATTTGCATTATTCAGAAAGGGTTATAAAAGAAGTGTTGCAATGAGTCATAGCAGCAAGAGGAACAGCCGCTGGACAGGAAATGATGTCCTGACTAATAAAAAAAACATCTGTTGCTCTGGCTGACATGTGCCTTATAGTGAACACACACTATACTTTAGTTTGATTAAATCACACACACACAATCCTGCTGCTTAAATATTCACTATCAACAAAATGTGGCTAAATCCGCTACTGAAAATAGTTTTGACTTACGCTTGTAAAAAATATTTAAGTTTTCAGTAGGAACCAAAACTGCTGAGGCTGTGCCACAGATAGAGGAGGGATTCAGAACGTATTAAGAGACTAATGTTGTTGGTTTGGGTTTGCACATGGGACTTACGAGAAAATATAGAATAACAACAGACGTTGTTTTGTGATTATTCTATATCTTAATTGTGACTGTAATCTGCCAGCCTGCACTTTTTAGATTAAATCGCCCTGGCGTTTTTCAGACAGAGAAATGTTGGAGCGGTCCTTCAAAACAGGGTCTGAGCTCTCCTGCTTTCCTACCTTTCACTCTTTCTTCCCCTCTTGCTTTTCCTCTCTCTCACCTTGCTCAGTAAATCAGGTGACCTTGAGGAAGAGTTGAAAAATGTCACCAACAACTTGAAGTCTCTGGAAGCCCAGGCTGAGAAGGTATGGTAGCAGCTGGGGGCCGATCAGCCAATCAGAGCCAGACTAAAGCCATGAAGCTAACACACACACACACACACACACACACACACACACACACACACACACACACACACACACACACACACACACACACACACACACACACACACACACACACCTGCAGGTCTTTCTCTCCGACCCAGTTTGCGGTTCATTAAATAAAATATAATACACAGAATTACTGACTGTACCTGAATGCACATAATGTTATTAGTAATGCAAACACACATGGTGGCACACACACACACACACACACACACACACACACACACACACACACACACACACACACACACACATGCAGTCTTCATTAGAATACTATAAGTTAGACAGAAATTCTTTAAAATGGCTTGAAATGACCTTGCCCCTCTTTGCCTTTCATAAACCGTATATGTTTCTTTTTCATTTGATGCTTCACACACAATTATTCATCATTATCTTACTTGCCTTTCTTAACGATAATCAAACCATCTCTCAAAGTTATACATAACTTAAAAGTACTTTATTGATCATGCATTTATCACTGCTGTCTCATTTTTGTAGTTATCACTGGAGTTAAAATGTATTTCAACGTTGCCTTGCTGACTTGTTTTATGTTTGGATTATAGTATACACAAAAGGAGGACAAATATGAAGAAGAAATTAAAGTTCTTAGTGACAAACTGAAAGAGGTGAGTTGTTAGTCACTGTTTCTGTTAACCATGACTCACTGTAAACTTCAGGAAGTGTTCATACATAATGTGAGTTTGTGCACGGTCTCACGTTGTGCTGCTGTGTGTCGCAGGCGGAGACTCGTGCAGAGTTTGCAGAGCGGTCTGTGGCCAAGCTGGAGAAGACCATCGACGATTTGGAAGGTATAAATCACTCGCCTGTGTTTTCTGCCTCTGACAGCACTCACATGGCTGCACTGAACAATGAGAAAGTATCAGACAGCTTCACTAACTCCACTTCTGCTGTTCAGAGTGAAGTGATAACTGGGTTTGCTGTGTTTGATGATCGGAAGGACCAAATCACTTCTGTTGAAATCAATGTATCTGCCTGGTTGTGCAACATGAGAATCGACTCACTGTGCACAGTGAGAGTTCTGCAGCCTGTGGTTTAGGCAGTTTTTCGAGGAAGTAGATAGTACACTTAGGTTACTAATACCACACTGTAAAGATAGTCCTTTTCAAGTACTTCATTGAACATGTTACTTAGGTAAAAGTTAGTATTATTAGCTAAGTATATGAACTATAAAAGTACACAATGCAGAACAACAATCTCAAATAAAATGCACCACAGATTATTTTAAAGCTTATTTTCTCATTGTTTATGTTATGAACTAGCCCTGCATAGTTCGCTTACACACTCTACCACATACCAAGTACCTGTTTCAATGTTACTTCCAGTGATGGAAAGTAGCTAAATATCAGATTTTCTTCAGACGTCTATGTCAAAGATAAAAGAAAAGCACAAGCTGTGCACATGTTTCCAGGAAGTGTGACATCCAACATGGCTTCCAGAGGGTTACCTGAATGAACTAATAATGTCACTAACAATTGAATATTAGATCTAGAAGTGTTGGGCATGGCCTGATGGTGATACTGTTGTCTCTGGCATGTAAAGATTTCATTAATAACACAGAGTGAGTTGTTTGGTTTGTGTGCATTGAAATCCAGTCTATAGAGATCTGGGATAAAACCATAACTTTTCCTCAGTGAGCTTCAGCTGAGGTGACGACATTCAATGGACACTGTGGTTGTGATGTTTTAAATTGGGGCAGAGGAAGTTATTAATCACACTTCCCGTGGATTGCGGTCAGCATGTGCCCAGTTTAGAGAAGCAGAAGCAAAGCCATGTTCTGCTGTGTATCGGTTTATCTATGTTAGGCCAACATAAAAAAAATGCAATATCAGATTAATTGTACGCTATATTCAGAACATTTTCCCGTTTTACTGCAGTTTTGACAGTGAATGGGGAAGTGAAGCTGTTGTCTGTCCTTTCACCAAACTCCCTTGACAACAACATTCATTTAAGTCAGTCTAAGGCTGCTTTGATCAGTCTGTCAGTTCAAACATTCAAAGAGGTTTAAAGGCTTTATTGTCACAACATTGCTGCAGCTTAGTTTTTTCAAATCTCAGGCTCCTCAAAAACATACAATGCATCATACTTAAGACTTAAAAATAAATAAAAAAGTGGATGAGAATGGTGCAAGGGACACAAGGTGCAAGCAAAATGCAGAAATAAGTTACTTTATGCAAGTGAAATAAGATAAATCAGAATGTACAATTAAAAACTGAACATTGGAATAAAATAGTGGGTATTGTAATAATACATACATGTTTGGTTAGTTCAAATTCACCAAAGAACTAACCAACGTTGCTCCATAACTCAAGCTGACTTGATTGATTTGGATTTAAACATGTACACATCTGCATATTGCAAGTGGATAAATACCTCATACAACTTTTTCTGTTTCCTGTCCCTTCACCTCATTCTGTTTCCAATCTGTGCATCTGTCCGCTGCATCCCTCGTCTCTGTGTGTGTGTGTGTGTGTGTGTGTGTGTGTGTGTGTGTGTGTGTGTGTGTGTGTGTGTGTGTGTGTGTGTGTGTGTGTGTGTCCCCTCCTCCAGATGAAGTGTATGCTCAGAAGCTGAAGGGCAAGGCTCTCAGTGAAGAGCTGGACCTGGCCCTGAACGACATGACTGCCCTGTAGCTGCTCTCACTTCCTCTTTGCTCTCACTTCCTGTCAGAACTCTTCTCCACCTGCTTGCTGTTGTCTTGTTCCATTCAGTGTTCATTAATTTCCTTTTTTCTTTTCTTTTTCTGTTTCCTGTCCCTTCACCTCCTTCTCTTTTCCAATCTGTGCGTCTGTCTGCTCCATCCCTCGTCTCTGTGTGTGTGTCCTCCTCCAGATGAAGTGTATGCTCAGAAGCTGAAGGGCAAGGCTCTCAGCGAGGAGCTGGACCTGGCCCTGAACGACATGGCTGCATAGCTGCTCTCACTTCTTCTTTGCTCTCACTTCCTGTCTGAACTATTCTCCACCTGCTTGCTGTTGTCTTGTTCCATTCCACAGCGGTATCTCGGTCTAGAAGATTCTAGAAAAATGCAATGTGCCAAATCCACCCGCCCTCCCCTCCTTCAGTGATCTGTATGTGTGTTGCACTAGTCTTTGTACAGAGAGTTAAGTTATTGCTCACCCAATCACTGCTGAGTTAATGTCCTCTCTTTATTCAGTCTCCATGTTTCCCCTGCCCCTCTGTAATAAATCTATTAAAGCTCTCTTGACTTTTCTGTCTTCTTCCAGTCTGTTCTTCTTTCGCCTTTGTTTACTTCTTATATTTGAAGATGCCCTATTCTGCTTTTTGTGGTTTCCCCTTTTCCTGTAGTCTGTTATACAGTATAGGTTTTAGTGCATGCAAATGGTCCGCAAAGGTCTGAGTTCCCTTCAGAGGGAGTTTCTCTCCCACACCCCCCCCCCTTCTGCCTCCATTGGACTCCTTTGTTTACTTCTGTAACATGATTACATCACTATGTAATACTCACGCTTCCATTGGCTAGCGCTCAAACACACTACGTGATAAGGGGCGGGACATCTCTAACCAGTTGATCGATCAAAACAAAGCCGGCCAGCTAACCAATCAGAACAGACTGGGCCCTGGTTTCAGACAGAGGGTGAAAAGAGGTGCTGCAGCACAGACAGTATGAGGAAAATAAATAGCTTTTTGAACATTAAAGCATGGAGACATGTTACAGGAATGATCCTTCGAGAATTATCATTTGTTGAAGAAAAAGTCACTAAGGTTCTCAATTACAGAAATAGCCTTTACTTGAAGTTACTAGAGTTTCTGAGCGATTATAAAACAGTATGAATGTAATGATGATCCCTCTTAATGACCTGCAAAAAAGACCATCAGTGTGATGGTTCGATGTTTTTATAAAGTTATTCAAATCACTTGTCTTCAGGTACAGTTCCCTGCGACATCAGACCAACCATCTACCCAGGATAAGGAGGGTTACTTTGAATATATATTCTGTTATAATTACTAGCTACCTGTAAAGAAATGTAATGAGTAGGGAGGCGTGTGGTGCAGTGGTTTGTGCATTGGTGTTGGGATCAAGGGGTCTCAGGTTCAAACCCCACTGCAGTCAGCATGTCGTTGTGTCCCTGAGACACTTCACCCCAAATTGCTGCTGTGGGCATTGCCCACAGTATTGAGTATGTAAGTCGCTTTGGATAAAAGCGTCTAACAAGTGATATATAATGAGTAACCTAATCTAAGTATCACAAACAAAGTAATGTTACATGCCATTACTTTTGGATTGCCGCAATTCAAATAAATAAAACAAAAACAAATATCAATAAGATGTTTTTTACTGAAGTGTATTTTGTAAGACAGAACAATGTGACCTTAGAAAGGAAGAAACCCAGTTATTTAGGATCATAACATGATTTTATTTGTAGGAAAACCTGCCTTTCATGAAGCATATTCAGCCGATGCACCAGGGGTGTCAAACTCAATTTCATCCCGGGCCACATCAGCACTATGGTTGCACTCAAAGGGCCGGATGTGACTTTAAGACGATCCATCCATCCATCTTCTCCCGCTTATCCGTGGTCGGGTCGCGGACGTAGCAGTTCCAGCAGGGAGCCCCAAACTTTCTTTTCCCTGGCCACATCAACCAGCTCTGACTGGGGGATCCCAAGGCGCTCCCAGGCCAGCGAAGAGATATAATCCCTCCACCTGGTCCTAGGTATTATATATATAGGTGGGTACTTTAAGACGATATAATATATATAAAATAATGTATTATAATTTGATTATTATCGGATAGGGTAATAACTTCATAATTAACTACATCTGAAAGCAAATAATTGCAAGTGTCTTCAGTGCGCATGTCACAAAACAAGATGCATTGTGGGACATGTAGTTTATGGGCAACGTGCCTCTGTAAAGTGGCATGTAACCGTAATATATTCTTTGCATGCTCTTGCGGGCCACATTAAATGAAGATGCGGGCCGGATTTGGCCCCTGGGCCTTGAGTTTGACACCCCTGATACACCAACAATGAAACACAGAAGCACATACTACAGTTTAAAAAAGCAGAAATAAAACCTGAGCTGACAGGAAATGCTCCGTTATAGGTTAATACACACAGTTAAGCTCACACACACTATTTTATGAACATATACGTTCACTTACTGAATTAAAAAGTGACTGAATGTTTGTTTCCATTGAAATGTATTAAAGGGATTCTTCTGGAAATCTACATAATGTAACTATAGATAAAGTCAACAAGGACTAAAAACTATTGTCTCTATTTCACCTTTTGCCCATTTTGGTAAGTGACTAAACTTTTAAACAATGTTTGATGTCATCTTCTTTTCTTTTTTATGTCATATTGTGTGTTTTGGATAATTACTGAAAGACTAAGCTCTATGCAACTTTTTGCCATTGATATATTTACTATTCTTATTGTACGTATAGACTTAATGGTTAAATTATCAATTTTAATGTTATCAATAATGAGAATTATCATTGCATTCAACCCCAGTATAATAAATGCTAAATGACCCAATTTTTTTCCAGCAAACTAGCTGGGAATTCATCAGAAAATCATAAGAATGTCAATTTTGTAGAATAAAGCATAGTAGTAAAATCAAAGCAGGTCTAGGGTGCCCTCTTAAGATTCTCTATTACCAGCACATTGAGCTTCTTGTGTTTTTGGCAAACCCTTGCAGTAAACAATGCATTGACACTGTGTTGGTTTAGAAGACGCATCTCCAGGTCCAGACAGGAATCTCACATGTGGCTTTGTTCCCTCCTCCAGAGAAACTGACCCAGGCCAAAGAGGAGAACCTGGACATGCACCAGGTGTTGGACCAAACCCTCCTGGAGCTCAACAATCTATAGAGCCCTCCTCAACAATCTATAGAGCCCTCCTCCTGATGTGGTGTGCTCCCAGCACACCACATCAGATGTGACGATTGGTTCAGAACTAGATCTATGGAGCCCCTACCAAGTGTCTTTATGCAAACTAATGTGTGCATTAGAAACTGTTGGAGGTCATCAGAAGGATCCTGTCATCAATAAAAAAGGTTGTGTGTGCACGTGGAAGTCATAGAAAACAATAACATCAAGAGAAGTTGTTGCTTAAAAAAAAGTTTGACCAAAACATGACACAGCAGTTCTAAGGAAGTAATGATAAAAACATGATAGTTGCTACACTCAAATGACATTTCTCCTTTACCCAACAGTTTCTGATGTGCACTTGAAAACGTATTTGTTGTCTTTCTATTGGTTGATAAAGTGTGTTACAGATATGTCAAAGACGTACACTTACTCTCATCTGACCTTCCTTACCAATTTTGGGGCGATACAATTGTATTATGTTAAAAAAACACACATTTTAGGCAGTTATTTAGGTCATTTTTAGGCAAGTCAGCATTAGAGTTATTTTCCAAATACACCAAAATAGAGGAAATGTGTGTGAGACTTGTTTTTAAATGCTAAAAGCTGAATTGAATAAAGAGTTGGGAGCTGTAATACTGACTGATCTTACTGAATAAAAGTTTTGTATCTTTTAAAAATGAGTGAATTCCTGAAATGCGAAGGTTTCATAATCTTATCGTTCAGATTGCACATGTTGTGACTTTCACTCTGAGGTCATTTAAATGTCATACTTCTCCTGTTTGCTAACCTCTCTGCCAGAAGGTTATAATACAGTTGTCAAGTACAAGCAACCCCTGGCAGGTTTGAAAAAAACCAGAGTGTAGTTACAAAAGACAAAGGAGCACGGAAAGATAAGCCAAGGTAAACCAGGTAAAAGGCTAAGCTAACTCGTAGCTCGGAGGAAAACAGGCCAAGGTCAACAACTTGAGCAGAAGTCAAGTACTGGCAGGCTTCAGTAGGAAATGACACAATAAATGAGACCTTCTGACAAACTGTATATATAGTGAGCTGATAAGGGAAAGGGCAGCAGGTGAGTGGAGATCATCAACAATTAGAGATAATCTACTGATGGGAGAGCAGGATAATGGGATGTCTGGGTCTGACATGAAAGCAGAGTTACTAGTACAGAACACAAACAAGCAAATCAAAACCATTACACCAGAGCGCTTATCAAACTATGATCAACACACACGAACACGTCATTGGTTGCAGTGATTGTTTCCGAGTAATTACCTCTTCCAAGGAGCTACGTTTTTTTCTACTGTTTGCCCGACAGTCTGGGAATTATGGAAAACCTGATTTGCATGAAACTTGGCAGAAGGGTGTAGCGTGGGGGAAAGGAGGAACCAATGAAATAGTTGGAGATATGAATCACAGGGCGGATACATGAACTACATTTCACTATTTAAAAAAATAGCAGCATAGAAGGTCTCTCCTTAGCAGTTGTTATTGTAGATAATAAAAGAATAGCAAGCCAAGCACTTACCCTTAAGATAAATGTAACACCACAACAAATATATACTGACTAGAACAACAACAAAAAAGATAAATAAAACAAACCTTACTCAAAGTGTCTCTTGGTGCAAACTATAAAGTAGAACAAATTATGTTTTTAGAAAGTGGTGGGTTGTACCTTTACTCCAGTACATTTATGTAATACCTTTAGTCACTTTACAGATGTGGATGAATGATGTGAAATATAATCAAGTGTTAAATCAGACTTTAGTTCCACCTGGAGTAAATCCACAAGCTACCTTGCAGTATACAAAGTCATTCAAACTAGCTGCACCTTTACCAGCTTTGAGAACACTTTAATGATCAATCATTATAAAACATATCATATATATTATTCTGAAATGGACCAATCTGCACAATGACTACTTATTTACAATTAGTACTTTCGTAACAATATATTGATGCTAAAACTTTTCTACTTTTACTCGAGTAACATTTTTAATGCAGGTATGTTAACAGAGTATTCCTACACTCTGATACTTCTACTTTTAATCAAGGACAACATCTGAGTACTTCTACTTTTAGTGAAGTACAATATCTGAGTACTTCTACTTTTACTCAAGTACAAGATCTGAGTACTTCTCCCTCCTCTGGATATTTCATAAATATGATAATCATGTTTCCTTGTAAAGCTGATTGGAGATGACACGTTGGCAAGGTACTCCTACACTCTGGTACTTCCACTTTCACTTAAGCACAATATCTGAGTAGGCCTACTTCTCCCACCTTCTGGTTTTAAGGACAAGAGGCCCACAAACCTTTCTTGGCACGTGTATTCTTTGGAACACCAAGGGCGGGGACATCCTGGAAAACAACACTGAGGGCGGGATCAGACAGGCGAACAAGGAACCTCCTATTTGTCATACTTTTTTGACAGACAGCTTACTTGACCAATCATCAAACAGTAGGTGTTCACCGAGTATTTTAGCAGATCTCTAAACTCTCAACGGCAGGGCGCGCGCCCGACGTTTGTCCATTCTTATGCTGTGAGATCGAGGAGTTATTTGGCAACATTGCTGCGACATGACTATCATTGACGGGAAGTGGGTGGACCTTCCACAGATTCACTGGACGACACACAAATGACCACTCCAATTCTTGTTTTGACCATTAAAAGGTTTTATCGATACATAAATATGGTATTGATCTAACGGAGATTACACGCACCAACATTGAAGCCAGTTGGGTAAGTTATAATATGAAGCTTTTGATAGCGGAAACAATATGGCGTTAGCAGGGCGGCACTGAGCTAAATGTTAGCTGAAATAAATACGCAACACTTTGAGCTCGAACGATACGTTGTTAGCCACTAGGTAACATGCTTTTAACGATATGTTAGCAACTACTAGCTTACACAGTAATACTTTCTTATTAAGCTAATACCGATAATAATAATTTTGTAAATGTTGATAAGTATGTAAATGTAGCTTGTAAATATGTTGTATGATATCCTCTATAGTTTTATGTTTCATGTGGAACCTAATTGCTGCAGGTCTCCCTTGAAAAATAGATCTATGATCTCAAGGGACAATCTGGATAAATAAAGTTTTGAAATGAAATGAATAAAGCTATTCAAGCAACACTGTTTACAGAGGAGATGAACTGAACAACTGCCAAGCTTACCTAGGCGTTACGCCATGTCTGGTTTCTGAGAAGAAGTTTATAAAGTTTTACTCAGAACTGAAGCTCCCTTTGAGTGTGCCTTTTTGTTAAAGTCTTGTATATGTTTATATTACATTGTTGAAGATGTCACAAATCTCCATTTAACATATCATCTAATAAAGGTTAAAAAAGAGGGTTTATAAAGAAAAAATACCACTTCTAATATCACCTAGTATTGTTTTGTTTGGGGGCTCTACAACAACAATTTCACAGTTTATATTACAATTGTATATTTGTAAACCTATATATTGTGTAGCTATAATTTCGCAGTGTCAATGGTACAGTTAAATGACATTAGTTGTGCTTGTTAATGGAGAAAATAAATGTCAATGATATCATATACTATACTACACTACAGTTGTGTTTATGATCTGACATTGAACTTTTTGAACCTTAAAAAAAAAAAATTGTTTTTGTCCACAGAGAGTCACCATGGTGTCTGCAGGAGAGCTGCTGCTGTTAGCCGGCCTAGTCTTGGCTGTAGCTGCCACAGGAGGTCAGTACCTGTTGTTTCTAACTCCTGACATTATAACAGCTTCTTTCTCATTAAAAAGGCCCGGGACCCCCACAGACACTTATCCTCAGCCCCTCCATAAACACTGCATTGCATTAATTAAAGAGTAAATTCACAAGCTACCCTGCAGTATACAAAGTCATTCAAACTAGTTGCACCTTCACCAGCTTTCAGAACACTTTAATGATCAATCATTATAAAACACATCATATATATTATTCTGAAATAGACCAATCTGCACAATGACTACTTTTACTGTCGCTACTTTAACTATATTTTGATGATAATACTTTTCTACTTTTACTTGAGGAACATTTTGAGTGCAGGACTTTTACTGAAACAGAGTATTCCTACACTCTGGTACTTCTACTTTTACTCAAGTACAACATCTGAGTACTTCTACTTTTACTCAAGTGCAACATCTGAGTACTTCTCCCTCCTGGATATTTCATAAATATGATGATCATGTTTTCCTTGTGAAGCTGATAAAAACAAAAACATGTGCCTACTAGTGCTCTACTCACACCACCACCAATATATACAATTACCCAGTGCCCAAAACTGCCTTCAACATAAAAGCATAGAAACTACTTTTAATAACAACAATAACTAAGAATACATTTACTATAAACAGCAAGAAAATAAATGTTTAAGTATTAAATACTACAAGGCGATATATAGTTCCAACAGTATGCTTTGTGCGTAATAGCCCATTTCTGACTCATATATATCAGTGTTATTATTATTGATGCATTAGCGTGTATTACAGATGGTAAAGGTGGAGCTTACTTTATTTCCTTTGCATGCTGCTGTTGGATGTTTTCACCTATAATTATATTTCAATATTTATTTATTTATTAGTTGATTTGTATTTTTCTTATTCGCTAATAATCTGAATCTGTAAAGTAACTACAGCTGACAGATACATGAAGTGGAATAAAAGTAGTAAGTAGCATTACAAAAAACCCACTCTGTGCTAAAGTACAAGTACCTCAAAAATAATACATAAGTACGGTACTTGAGTATATGTATTTTACTACATTCCAACACTGATTGAAGTCATTACCGTCAGTCCTGCACAACCCTCTAAATATTTGGCACATTGTACACAAAGCTACCTTTTTTTAATATTTCTGCACAGCTTACCACTTTCCAAACCAATACTGCACATATTTGATTTCATTCAAGTTCATTGTATCATATTATACTGTACGTAGTATTCTTGGTATATCTATATTTCATGTAAATATTTCTCTATATTTTAAAGTTATATATGTCATTTTAAAATGTTTTTTTATAATATTTTAATCTTTTGGTCCTGTGCTGTTTACTGAATTCCAATAAGATGCTTCAATTCTAAGGGCCTGTTCTTATACTTTTGCTTTTCCTGCTATCACAACTCAGTATGTTTGCATTGAAATGGGATTTGTCCCCTGTTTGCTTCTTTAACACTCCTGTCGGGTTCATCTCTCCCCCCCTTTACTTTGATGTTCCCAGTCTGTTTTAACTGCTCTTACATTAACACAAAATCAATTATTCTCTACCAAATTTGATTTTAACACCTTTTTACGCTGTCAACAAAGTGTCAGACGACTGGTGTACTTGAATAACTGCGATGAATAGACACAGTTCAATTGGGTGTGTGTGCTATCTGATGGATGACCATCATCCAGGGTTACCCATTCATTTCCTATGGCGGTCATTTTTTACCGGGAACATCATCGGTGTTACAAAGCGGACTAAACCACTCAAAATTAAATGAAAGTGGTGATCAGTAATATGTTCAGATGCCTACTGTGGAGGATATCATAAGGCCTTGAAGCAATCAAACCTAAAACACAATATGTATGATTGATGTAGTAAATCAGATTTATTCCGAACACGACAGGATGGTTAAAGCATTTTTTTTAAGAAAATGCTTTTTCTTACCACGGCACTCTGCCTGTATCTTTGTATTGACTCTATAGGGTTTTCCCAAACCAACCATTTGGTGACAGCCCCACAGACAACGCAATTTCTAGAGATCGGCTCTAACTTCAAGGCTACATGCATGATCATCAACACAACGGAAGTTACAGCTGATGACCTCTACTGGAAACTGTCTGCGACTACTGTATCCAAAGAGCTGTACACCAAGCTCAATGAATCGGCTATCAGTGTCACGATCCCCGTCACCGGTGTACAATCTGAATGGTTATTTTGCATGGCAAAAAAGGGAAACTCCCCCTACTTTTTCCTGCACGCAGGCAAATTTGTCTACGGGGTCTTACTGAAGAAAGGATGTAAGTTGTTATTGTTGGCACCTAAAACCAAAGCTGTTTTCTAACTACCTGTATTTAATGCTTATAGGTTAGGTCATTGCTAACTCATGGTATGCATTTACTATAGACAGTTTGAGGACCAATGTTTAAAGGTCACCTATTATGCAAAATCCACCTTCTCATGTCTCTTCTACATCAGCATGTGTCCCCTCTGTGGAAAGAGACTCTGAAAGTTTCAGGAATGAGCCAATGAGCTGATCAGATTTTGGCCACTTTATGATGTCATACCGATTTTTTGGCTTGTGTAACCATTAGCCAATCACCAACCAAGTTAACCCCCCCCCTTATCACCTGAATCTCCTCCTAGAGCACCATTGAGTTCTTTGTAACCAAATGTCTCTCAGAGGGGCGTGGGGAGGGGCTCCTTATTTTCATCTAAAGTAACAGACAGAGAATCAGCACTTTGGAAACAGGGCTGAAACAGAGGGGATTATGGGTAATGCTGCAATGATCTGTTTGGTGTTTCAGCCATTCAGAGACATGTTCTGTATATATCTGAGACCTGTAATATATTGATGAAAAACAGTATGATAGGGGACCTTTAAGTCATCACCCGAAGCGTCTGCCATAATATCCACTAGTGATTGCAGACATCCTTTTTGGAAACTGTCCCATTGTAGTTGTGGACACACCCCGGTTTACTGTGAAGTACTTTGTTCAGTTTCATTCTGACTTTCAGTGGCGGAGAAGTTATTTGGCTTGATTCAAGATTAAAACACCTAAGAATTAAATAGAGAAACCCTTGTAATTAAAGGTGTTTTCCACCCTCACTTTTATCTTGGAGTTATCTCTGTATGTTTAAATAAATGTCTGTGAAAAAAGGGCACAAAAGCTTTTGAATGAAGTAAATAAGATGTCTGTGCTGTTTGTCTCCATGTCAGATCCACCAGGGAAGCCTGAGAATGTTTCCTGTGTGGCCGTTCAGGAGAAAACTACAATCTCCACGACCTTCAGGTGTAAGTGGGCGACAGTCGGACGTCAAACCAGCGATGTCCCGACAAAATACACCCTGAATGTTGTAGTCATTCAGTGAGTATACCAAGCTTTTTTTATTTAAATTTAATTTTAATAATTTGTTTCCATAGCACGATTAAAAAAAATAATGAGTTGAATATACATAAATGATTAACAATACTTATTCATGCCTCGTAGGGCTGTCCCGAATACCGTTTTTCGGGCTCCGGATATTCGGTAGTAATCAGCAGCGAATATTCGGCCCGCGCAGGGGGGGCGGCGTAGTAGTAATCAGCAGCGAACCGCTTCAACACGTGTATTTCGGTGTATTCACTAGACCCTCCAGAAAAACGCGGGCAAAAATCCTTGATTATGCGGGCTAAATTCCTTGATTATGCGATTAAACATGCAGGGTTTTTTTTGATTTTATGCGGTGAAATTGCGGGAAGTTGCGAAATATGCGGAAAGTTGCGAAATATGCTAAATATGCGGGAAAAAAGAATTAAAAATGTTTTAAATATTGGGCTGTCTTATTTATTCTCTCTCACACACAACCTGCCACTAACGTTAAACCCCTTTACTATTCAATTAAACACATTCAATGTTTATTTATTGTAAAAGCAATTGGGCTATTTTAATCTCACATACACACCCCCCCCACACACACACACACTTCTCCGCCTCATTCTGTTTTCATTTACTCGTTCGTTATCTGACCAGCTTCTAATCTTGTAGGCTACTCACC